TTTCTTTTGGAACACAGAGGTTTTCTTTCATTTCCGAAAAAATATTTATATTAACACGTAACTGACTTGTTCAAGCTATTTCATTTTTATTTTTTGAGATGGAGTCTCGCTCTGTTACCCAGGCTGGAGCGCAATGACGCAATCTCGGCTCACTGCAACCTCCGCCTCCCAGGTTCAAACAATTCTCCTGCCTCGGCCTCCCAAGGAGCTGGGATTACAGGCGTGCGTCTCATGCCTCGTGAATTTTTTTTTTTTGCATTTTTAGTAGAGACGGGGTTTCGCCACGTTGGTCACGCTGGTCTTGAACTCCTGACCTCGTGATTCTCCTGCCTTGGCCTCCCAAAGTGCTGGAATTACGGGCATGAGCCACCACACCCAGCCTATTCGTGTCATTTTAAAATGAGTTAGCAAGTAAGTATTCCTACATGTGAATTTTAACCTTTAATTTAGTAAAAAAGTAGTAGATAAAACACATTAACAAAGCTCCTTAAAACTCTCAATAATTTTTTTTTTTGAGACAGGGTCTCACTCTGTCAACCCAGTCTGGAGTACAATGGCGCCATCTCAGTTCACTGTAACCTCCGCGTCCCAGGTTCAAGCGATTCTCCTGCCTCAGCCCCCTGAATAGCTGGGACTATAGGCGTGTGCCACACACTCAGCTAATTTTTGCATTTTTAGTAGCAGTGGGGTTTTACCATGTTGGCCAGGCTGGTCTCGAACTCCTGACCTCAGGTGATCTGCCCGCCTCAGCCTCCCAAAGTGCTGGGATTACAGATGTGAGCCACCACACCTGGCCAAAACTCTCAATAATTTTTTTTCTCAAGTCTACACTGCCTGGGAACGCTCAATAATTTTTTTAAGAGTACAAATTAGGTTCTGAGACCAGAGGGTTTGAGAGCAGCTGGCTTAATGCCCGGCACCGTGCTGCCCAGAGAGCCCCATGTTAGACCCGGTCACCACTGAATTCAGCTCCTAGGATGGTGCCTGGCACTTTGCAGAAAGATGTACAATTTAGCACTTGCCAACATGAATCCGACTGCACAGAAACTGTGAGGCTGACCCCAGAGGGCTCCACCCAACACGGGGGCGGGATCACCTCGGCCGAGTACCTGGGAGATGAAGTCCTTCTCCAGCTCCTCCTTGGGCTTGTCTGAGCACCTCGAAGGCTCCTGGCACTGCCCCTCGACACTGTAGTTCTGTGACAGGATCTCCGCGAGGTTGAACTGATGGTCTCCAGAGCCCATGGACACCGCTGGGGAGAAGACGGCAGCGCAGGTGAGCAGCTTGCCCGCCTGTCCCAACCACCCTGCAGAGACTGGGGGTGCCTGGGGCAGGGGAAGCCCTAGGGGTGAGGCCCTTTGCACTGCAGGGCCAGCCTCCCACTTGGGTACCCGCCGGGACACCCCACAACTCATGCACCCCACAACAGCTGGTGAGCTGCACACACTAATTCCAAGGGTTTTTTTTAAGGGAGGGGGTGTCTTTCTGAGGGACAGCTTGTCTTCCTCAACAGGGAAGTCTGTGAGGATTTGGAGAGCGCGGACTAGAAGGAGCCAGACACCCATCTCGTTAGGGTGGGGGGGGGCAGCAGGACTCATTGGAGCTGGGTGCACGCCGGGCTCCACGGCTCCTGAAACGGGTGATGCCAAACCCTCACCTGCGTGGGTCAGCACAGCACCAAGGACCACGCAGGGGCAGGGCCGGTGGGACCTGGACAACGCCAGTCCCTCACACTCCGCCTGCAGGGCCACAGGAAGCCGCCGTGCGACACACATGGCCCAACAGACGGCGGCTGTCATCAGACCCAGGGTTTCCCCAAAATAACTGGGGTGTGTCACCATTTCTCTCCACGTTTAGTCTCCAATTAGACTTTAAAACAAACAAAAGGAAATAGCCAGGGTTCAACCAATCCAGACAGGGAGCAGTACAGCCCAAGGCTGGGGGCCCGAGGGCCGG